GGCTTTTTTTCTCTTTTTTTTTTTGTCGTTGGATTATTAGATTTAACAAATGTGATGTATTGCTATTTCTTTCATGATAATCATTATCACCAACTCATCCTTACACACCACACACACATATTAGTTGTTGAATCGAACGATTTGACAGCCGGTGAGAATGGTGCTCAATGAAAGAAATATGAATAAATCTTACCCGTTGGATCGAACGATCTAACAGCAAAAAAAAATGTCGAAATCTTATACTCATTAAGGGTATTATGTACATTACAATAACACATCCAACTAACTCCCTGGGTCCCATGCCACATCACCATGCCACATCATCATCCTCTTTATCATATACACACCCAACACACACGCACACACACCACCCCGCTGGCGACTCACCTGTCGCTTTCCTGCCAGCGACCCACTGCTCCATTGCCAATGCCGAGCATCCCACCACTGTCGGAGCCGCCATCTATTTCGTGACCCGTCTATGAATCCCACAACAAGCACACACAGTTGATTTCCGTCTGCCTTCACAAGAGCGGCGTGCCGCCGTTCAAGTCGTCGTCTCCGACGTCATCCTCCATCGCCAAGCTCGGCATAAACCTCTTCGGTTCAGATGCAGCGACGCCAGAAAAATTGACCTTCAAGCTCGAAGGTCGAGCTTCAATGGCAGATTTTGTTTTAAAAAAAAAAATTAGAGCCGAACATTGCCGGTAGCAGTCGCCGGAAAGAGAAGCTGACGGCGTGGGGTTGGTTGGGGCAGAGGAGAAAAGTTTGGTGGTTGGGTATTATTTTTGAAAATTAGACAATGTGCATGGACTTGATTGTAATTTTATGAATTNAGTAGCCGCTGAAGACGGTGACGCCGCTAAGATGCAATATATTAAAAATGTTGAAATTGCATATGTATCCTTGCAACTTATTAAATTATCAAACTCAAGCCCCTCATACTTAAATCATTTCCAGGTTCTTCCGGCAACCCGCCTCCGACCACCACGACCCGAGGCCGGCGTCCAGATCTCCTCTGCCACGGTTCTCCCTCCCTCTCTATCTCCAAGGCCGCTGAACTCTGGGACGCCGGATAACAGTGGTGACGCTATCGTCTGCCACCTCTGCCTCATCCCTCCGCCGTCACGACCGAAATGCTGGCGACAGCCCGCTCCTAATGCCAACCACTATTTGTAGTTCGCCGCCCCCGACGTCGTAACGCTGTCGTCCTCGGCCATCTCAAAACCGTCTACCACCTAATAGCCCAGAGTTTCGATCTCGTCGGGGAGCATGACACCGATAGCTGCATGCCTCTGCACATGGAGACTGACAGGCTTACGTCGGCGACATCGTGGATCTGCTCTTGTCCACTGTGGGGCTGCTGGCGGTGGTCAACGTGAACGGCAGGGCTACGACGGGGATGGCATTGGCTTCATCTGGATTGGCAAGGCTCGCGTCGCCGACAGAGATGGTGGCCGATTGGCGGTGATGGCGATACTTGTGCCGGCTGTCGCGGGTAAGTGTGTGTGTGTGTGTGTGTGTGTTTTTGTGTGCGTGGGTAGGAGAATGAATTTATTGTATTGTGGCGGGTCCCACATATTGGGTGGGTGTGTACAAAATTACGCAACTACCCTTAGATAGGGGTGAGCATGGGTCGGTACGGTTTGGAGATTGATAAATCTCCAGAACCAAACCGAAGTTCGGAGATCACTAAAATTCGATCTCCAGAACCGTACCAAAAAATCGGTTCGGAGATTTTTATTTTTCGGTTCGGTTCGGTTCGGTTTTCGGGACTATCGAAACGGTTCGGCTCGGTTTGGTTCGGTTCGGATATTCGGAGATTTCTTATCATTTTTTAAATTTTTTTGAATGACCACCTAGTTATATTTTATTTTTTATATGTATTTTTTAAATCCAACATTCATCAATACTTCATCATACTAATGATTTTATTTTTAAATCAACTTTAGAAGTAACCCTAAATTTTAGTTAAGACTAAATTCTACTAACATTGAAAAATTTAAATTCAAACAAAATATAATACAATTTTATATTAAAGTAATAATTATTTAACCTTCCATACCCTATTAGTTATAAGATAAACTAAGGGTAAGTATACAACTTTAAGTAAAGCTTATTTTTTTTGAAAAATCTTTAACCTTTCATTCCATTTATTTTTTTTTTAAACATGAGAAATTTAATTGTAGATCAAGTATTACTAAACATGAAATGTAAGTGAATCTTAGTTGTTATTACTATATTTTATTTGCATTTCAAAAATTCTCAAATTATATACGATCAAAGTTGACATAAAATATATTAATAACACGCATCTATTTTTATAATTCGGTTCTTAATTTCGGTTCTTCGGTTCGGTACGGTACAGGACGGTTCGGTTCGGTTCTCGGTACGGATATTTATGAAATCTCCAGAACCGTACCAATTATTTTTTCGGTTCAGTTCGGTTCGGAGAAAGTCAAACGGTCCACGGATATTTTTTGGTTCGGAGTGATTTCGGTTCGGTTTTCGGTACGGTTCGGAATTCTCCGAGTCCCATGCTCAGCCCTACCCTTAGATGTTCAAATTTGACCAAGAAATGTCAAGTTATTTAATATATTGCAATTAATAATTGACCATTATTTATTAAAATTTGACTTAATCGTTGGCATTGATGTGATGGATCTAATAGTCCAGAATTATTCTTATTTCTTTTATTGTACTTCATTCTCATTTGAGCACACTTCTAAGATCTAATGCTCACATGAGAATATGATTATATGAAGATTAGTCATCACATTATTTTTTGGGAGAAAAAAATAACATTATTAAATATAATTGGAAGGGGTTGACTTTGAACACGTTATCACCAAAAGATAATATCATAAAACTTCTTTTGCTTTAAATTAATCATCATTATCATTAAAGTATAAAAAGGGGTTGTTTATGGAATAGGAAAAAGAAAAGGTATAAAAAGCCCTTGTTTGCAATTTGTGATAAACTCGAGTCCTTTGCATCAAGAATACGAGCTATAGTCTATATAGAGCTGTAAAGTCAAACAAGAGTGGCCCTCACTGCTTGCATCATTTCATATTACTAGGGACATACATTAAAACCCAATACCAATAAAATCAACAAAGTCAACAAGAGGTGGTTTTTGGCAGCCATTCTTGTTTGTATGCTCTTCCCTCTTTGCTTCAAGAAATCCCTAATTCCATTTCTCTTTCTTTAAATTTTTCATCTCTTTTCTGGTATGCAGACAACAGTATTTCTAATTTTTGTAAAAATAAGATTTATTTGAATTCCCAGGTTGTTGTTTCTGTTTTCCTTTTTGCTTTTTTTTTTTTTTCTTTTTTTCAGGGCAGACGATCTGTAAGTTGACCCTTAGAGATTTTCAGTTTGCGGTTTTTATTTTGTTTGTTTTCCCATGTGGGATTTGAAAGCTGTTGAAATTTTGTCTTGATTGGATCAATTTTGACGATAAAAATTGTATTTTTACGTTATTTTTTCCACTTTTCAGGTAATAGGAACTTCAATTTTGATTCTGAAAGTAGATGTTGATTTGGAGAGGTTGAGGCTAAGGTGTTCTGAGCCTAATGGATAATCTGTGTTGTTTCAGTGCTTCTTGCTGTCAGGTGGCCTTCTGCTTTCTTGTGCAAGTTTATGACTTTCTATAGTTTTCTACCTTTCTATTATGAAGTTTATTAGGGAGTTCATTTGGAGAATTTTTTGGTGTTGAATATTGAATTTTATATGTGGTGCTGCTTTTGGTGAATTTGCAATTTGATTATTTTGAGCATATGTTATGTTGCATTTAGATGGAAGGATTTGTATTTGAGGAGAGGATTGTGGGGACAAAACTCTCAAATAATTACACATGCAAAATGGATTTGAAACAAGCCACTTTTAATCAGAAACAATGATATATTTTACAACGATATATTTTACGTTTGTATTGTGATGTAACTATGAAGAAGCAGCTCAACGCATTTTACTTTGGCGCTAGACTGAAAATCTAGCTTGAATCCTCCCATCCAAATGCAATCTTAAGTCCTTGAATTTTGTTAGATTGGTTGGATTATATTTATTGGGCAGCATATAAGACAGAAAAGCCTCTATTTGGTATATATGTATAAAATTGGCTCCCTTTGAGTCGGAACTTTTTTGTCGTTTGAGTTAAAATAATGGGGTTCACGACTAGAACTTGTGAGCTCATTATTACGTGACTTTCTTGTTTCTTGCGGTCCATATCTGATACGTCACTAAATTCAATGGCGTCATCATGTCACTTTTGTTCCAACATGCCTTTTAGTAGTTAACTTG